GTAGCACAGGGTTGTGATTCAGAATTTGTTAAAGGACTGAGAAGGCTCAAGCGCTAGGAGAAGTTCCACAGCAGGACAATACATTGTAATGAAAGTTGCTGGCTTAACCACAGTACCTGGCTAATTAACTGTATTTTATTTTCAACATCTTTTAGAACTCATAAGCCCAATATAACATGACATTCCCTAAAAATAGATGTTTCCTTGTCAAGGCATCAAACTCCATAATCCAAATTTTCTATGAATTACTCTTTTTCTTTTTTCTAATAAAAAAATTCCCTTGAGCTGTTTAGGCAGCAGAATTTTATTTTTTTATTTTTGGCGCAGAATTTTATTTTTTCTGCAAGGCTTTATTCCAGAGGGGGCGGTAGAATTTTAAAGTAGCCCATAAACGAGCTATTGGCTTTGGGTAGAGCCAGCCATGACAACATGTTCAAGCATGGAAATGAACAAAGGAACCTTTGGTATGCACCTGGTGGTTCAAAAATAGCAGGTGGTTGTTTAAAAAAAAAAAAAATGACTCCAAGGAATTCAAATTTCTCTTTAAGGATTTTGTTGCTAGCTTTCCTACAAAGATTGTTTAGGTTACTTCTTGACCTCTGCTTTGCCACAGGAAGAAGACCTGCCTTATATTAATTCAGGTACTCTGCAGCTCCCAGGTTTTATCAGAATAGTTTTTCCTGAACAGTCTAATTCCTGTTACTTCCACAGTCAGATTCGTACGTGTGTGAGTGCGCACGTGCATAAAGTGCTGGTGAGAAAATGGAGAACCTTTCTCAAGCTAGGCAAGCAAGCTCTCTCCACAGTTACGCCCCCAGCCCTACAATATATATATTTCACATGAATTTTCAAAAGAAGAGACAGTCAAGCTGTTTCTGCACTTTACATATTGACATATTTCCTTTAAGTCCAAGTTAACATTTAAGAATATTATCATGCCGTGCAATTTTCAGAGGCATAATCTGAAATTATTTTTTGGAGGATCGGTCATAAACCAGTTAAGTATTTGAGATTACCCAAAATAGCTTTTAAAATGTCCTTCAAAAAGAACAACGTAGCTTATACATATGGTCCAGTTTACCACTAGTGGCAGAAAAGGTTACTAAATCTGGGTCTCTATTTGTTGCTGAGGATTGACCCCAAGGTCTTTGCCCTGAGCAATTTCTTCAGGCCACTCGCTTTGAATCGGAAGGGTCTCACCAGGTCGTTAAAATGCCCTAGCTGGTCTGCAGTCTGGGACTCCCCTGCTTCAGCCTCCAAGAGTGCTGGGATTATCAGTGTGTGCCACCTCACCTAGGTCTTGTTTATTTTTACTACGCGAGGTCCAGAATGGCATTCTACCAAGCAAGGAGCTCTCTATAGCCTCCCAACTCGTTTTAGGTCAAACATGGAAAGTGTTTTAACTTGCGACAACACTGTAATAAATCAGTGTCTACTGCTCTACCATTCTGTAAGCCACCATTGGGAGCCCCTTATCCGCCGTGCACTGCCATGGGAACTGGACACGGGAAGTGGGGCACAAGCCGGCCGGCGGGGGGCCGGGTTTGGGGTGTCGGGCTCCCCGCTGGAGCAGCGCCCGTCCTGGTTCCGGTTCCGAGCATCCGCGGCCGCCCGGCGACAGCGCGCAACCTGTCCGGATTCCGTCTCAGGTCGATTGTCACACTTGTAGCTGGGACCGGCCTCAGCTTCCCGGGGACAACATCCTCTGTCCCTCCCTCCCCACCTCTCAGCACCCCGAGCCCAGGGGTCCCCGTCGGCGGTGTGGCGGCGGCGCTCTCCGAGCTCCTCTCCGCAGGAGCGCCCTTTCGGTTTCTTTTTCCCGGCACTGGAAGCGCCCGGCGTCCGGGCCGTCGCAGGCTGCAGGGCGCGCCGCGCTTCGCCCTCTTCCGACCCCCGGCCCGGGGCTTTCCGGGAAGGGGAGGCGCGCCCGGCTCTCGCCGCCCGGACCGACCGAGCCGGCGGGCG